ACACAAGGGACAGGTGATCCTATGTACACACCCTACTCATTTCTCAGCATCAATGTGTTTAAACAACTGCATGTAACCCAACGGCCGATACTAGTAGTCAGAACTGCACAGCATGGTTTCAGTCCACAAGCTGTGCTTAATATTGCCTCATGCAATATTATTACATTACATTGATATTTATTTCGCCCATCAACTTACAGATTTTTCTCTTAAAATAATCTGACATGCTTGACATTTCCTAAGCAAGAGAAGAACATAAATTCATTTTATTAGGAGAAGTGGTAGATTTAAGCATCATCAGAATATAAGTTAGGGTTATTAGGGAAAATATCAGACCATGAAAGGTGCTTATTTCTTACCGTACTTCTGTGCTGATTGTTAAATGTTCTTCTATGTATTGTGGAAATGGAAACAAGTGTTGATATGAGCGAGCAAGATGAGGTGCTGACACTAAGGTTAAACCTAAATAAAATGGAAGAAACAAGGAATTAATCATGCTGATTATGCATGATTATACACTATAGTTGGTGACCTTCCTGTCTACCCACAAACTGGTTTTGTTCATTACACATGTATATGTATGAAGTAAGGAAACCAGTAAACTACATCACAGTAAAGAAACCATGTCCTATTATTGACCAGAATGCAGCATAATTGGTTGAACAGGCCAATAGCTTTATTTTGATGTAATGCATTGTAAAAGTTCTGTTCAACAAAGTGGTTTTATTTTTTGCTTGTCATTAAATAATACGAGCTTACCACAGACTTTACACTCAACAGGAAGATCACAGTACTTGCTTTTACACTAGAAAGATATAAAAAATTAAATATATAGTAAAGTGTGCACTGTCCGCTTCCATTGATAGCAGTGAATTTCAACTGAGGGAACTAACGTCAGTCAAAAATATAAAACATGCAGACTGATTAATTTCCATTGATGGTACCAAAAAACTAATTTTACAACAAGCTATTTAAATGTCTAAGTTTGTGGAATATTGGCAATAGCAGTATAGTAATGATTTAAACATCAAAAATTTACCTGAGGACAGAAAAAACCTCTTGTGTTCAACCCTTTTGTACTGTAGTCATTGTCTAAATGACTAAAGGGAAAAACAATATTATTGTCAATTTTTATTTTGTTGCATTCAGACTGGGGTTATGTGGCTTTGTGTATGTGCATCATTCTGTATTGAAGGTTTACTTACCACATACACAGTGATGGAGGTCCCTTGACCATATGTTGAGGGAAACCTTATTAAACAATAAAAATGTTTTACTGCATTGACAACATTTGCAAACTTAATGCACTAAATTTGAAATTAATTTTAAAATTTTGAAACTTCTTCCCCAAAGTCTAGGCCTAAAACCAGGAGCAGCAACAAGATTAGCTATCTAAAAGAAAAAAGAGAAGCAACAGATGTGCATTTTGCAATATTAAAACACACGTACTCAAAGTAGCAGTACATAACATAAGGTTCAGTAGAGTACAAACACTAAAAGTGTGCAACACTTTGCACTACTTAGTAGTAAATAGTGCTAATTAAACAATAGAAAACAATAGGATTAGCATAATTTAGCAGTATTTAGTGGTATTTATGTTACACACTTATAGTGTTTGTACTCTATTAGGACAATAGTTAACATACCCATTCTGATCAAAGCTGCTTCTGTATCAGCCTTCAAACAACAAAAACAGCAATGAAATCATTCTTGCTCTAGAACTACAGTGATTGTGATATAGAGGTGCCTTACTGCCCAGGAGGTCCTGACAGGGCAAAACTATGCCCAAGATCATGAATATAATTATAAAGGCCGAGATCTGTTTTTAAGGCTGAGGACACAGTTATTCCATATCCATACCAAGGACATTAAYAAAAGCTATTTATGTTTTCCCATTTACTTTTTATTTTCTTTTGCATTTTTTGTTTTTGTTCAGCAATTTGTTATTCCAGCATAATGCACCACAGTCAGAGACAGAAAACAGAATGAATGATAGGATTTAGGATACTGGAATGGAAAAAAATATTTTAAAATATATCTTTATATTCTACTATAATAAACATGTTTTCTGCCTTGGTGGCAGTGAGCATTTAAATGCCTTAATAGCCCTAGAAGCACTGGAACAAGTAAGCTAGTATCTGAAGCCCAGGGTACAATTTGGAAAATAAAATACACAGCCAACACAGTTCCCATCACTAGTTTCCATTGTCCTTTCAAATATAATAATATCTCATTATGGTAATATGTCTTTTATATTAACCTTGGCTGCTGGTGGAGTAACCTGTTCCATTAGCAGATCTTTATAGTGTTTTTCATCAAGAATGACTTTGTACTTTCCTACAGTAAACACAATCAATAACATTTGTATATCAAAGCCAAATTGTCAAATCATGTTGAGGGACTTACAATATTATTCAGTATCTATATTACAGGCAAATTGGAATTGATTCCCAATCTTTTTACAGAGTGACACCCCAAAGTATGATCACAGCATTCAGAGGATGGTGAGGCAAAAGGATGTGGATACATTATAAGTGCAGYGCTTTCATCGCAATATTTTCCCTTTATAGTATATTCCACAGCTACAGCATCTTGATAAAAATAATGACAACATTAAATTTAAGTTTAAACATATTTGGGCAGTGCTGTAACAGAGTCCTTTATAACAGAATAAGCTAAATAAAGCTAAATAAAGTTGGCATACTTGAAGATACACTTAAGCAACTGCATGACTGTACAAACTTATAAGCCTTTAATTCAATTCCAAATCATGGGGTCAACAATAGTCATGCTGGATGGATGAAAAAAATTTAAATGATTTGCACAAGAAAAAAATTAATTGGAAGAGCAAGATTCTGTTGTTTTACCATCATACAAGGCTAAGTCAACTTCTAGACCTAAAAATCCATTATATTTTCATTGATTAAAATACTATGATTCACCTTAGAATGAGAAGATAAAAGGATAAGGTGTGGTAAGGACTAAATATATTTAATTTTTCCTATGATATCCAGTTCATAAGCCATGCATGGTAATTAACAGCATTAAAATAACAACGTATATAATACATAACTAATCAATTTACCTTGTGTTTTATTACAAATTGTCTTACAAACCCTCATTTCAGCAGCTAGACCAATGATTGAGCATCTAATATTTTGTTCCACAACAGACTGCAACAAGGATTGACATAAAAATCTTGAATTTCTAAATGAGGTTTGACAGTTTCCATTATATGTGAATGCCGTGTCAAGGAAATGGTTTGGATTCTCTTCAACTGTGAA